GATGGTGAAACCAAGGGACGTGTCTGAGCAATCCATGGGCAAGGGGCCAAGCAGAGAAGGGTCTCATGGTGGAAGTCACCTTGGCGAAAGAAGCATGCATCCAGCACTGTATTACTGTTCTAAATAATAAGGCTTATTTTTCTCTAACTTCAGATGTATAGGAATTAGAAGGCATTTGGTTCTAACCCCTACTTATTTCTAAATTCAAATCCAGACATCGTGCATTTAGTTGAGGAGGCCAGGGTCTCGGTGTACACCTGACATAAGAAGCCCTAGGAATTCGAGGTTGGTCCTTGGACTGGTTAGCCAGCCCACACCAAGCCCGTGGGCTCGGCCGGCGCACACCCCGGAGTCCGGGGAAGTGGTAGCCCAAGGGTCCTGGCAGGGCTTATCTCAGGAACAGGAGGGCATGACTGGAGCCTTAAGTGGAAGGTAGAATGACTAATTTGGGGTGCTCTGAGTCTAGACAAGGAGATAGGAAAATTGAGGGCATACAATGCCAGGAGGCTACTTTATACTGTATTGAGCACAATGAAAGCTCTTTTTCTTTTTTTCTTTTTTTTTTCTTTTTTTTGCAATACCAGGGATTGAACTCAGGACCTTGCGCTTGCTGGGCAAGCACATATTCCACTGAGCTATCTTCCTGGGCCAACAATGAAAGCTCTTAACCAAACACTCGCTTCTTGATGCTCTCCACTTCTCTATAAGCCTTACTGGCAGGTATTGCAGCAGGTGAAGGGTTCATGATTCTTTTCTAGGGCTGTTGACCATTTCTGCTATGTTGTCATGGAAACTGAAGCACAACTCACAGACATGAATCTGCATTTCCTCTCCTCCCACCCTACTCGAACACATTTATAAAGTCTTTACACCCCATCTGCGCTCGTCCTCTGCCACAGCCCCTTACACAGATAACTGGATTCTTTGCTACTGGGTCACCATAAAGCTGGCTACCAACTTTATGCACGACAGCTTTCATCTTCAGGCTCCTAATCCCCAGTGGGCCCGCAGTATTAGGAATTCTACCAGACAGGTTGACCATGAGGAAGGGTAGCAGAGGCCCTAGAAAATTGATCCTACTCTGACTCATTGAGGAAAAACTGCAAGAGCAACTTTGATAATTTCTTTATTTATAGACATTTCAGAACCATTTAAATCAACAGACAATGAAATTTTTTTAGACATAACATACTGTGTTTATTTTGAGGTACACACCGGGCCCCTTAGATAATGCTCTGGAAAGCTAAGCAACTGTTAACTTGTAGTTAACAACCAAGTTGTCCAAGCCAAGAATCTGCAAAGATGGTTATAAACTTCTTCTTCTTAAAAAAAAAACAAAACACAAAACCCACCACTTCCATGTAAGGAGACCTACCGAAATTCTTGAGTTCAATTTTTAGACTTAGCTGAATCAGGATGTTAAACAGAACTTGCATATGAAAATGGGAGAAAAAGCTTAGGGCTAAGAAATGATCTGAGCCCTACTACATGGATTGTAAACAAAGGCAATTCACAATCTGATAAGCTCTATTACAAAACCCATAGCTTAGAAATTAGAGCAGCAGAATTACACAAAATATTTGTATATGACTTTAACTGAAATCACACTGACTCCTCATCCCTGACTACCGCAATGAGACAAATTCGAGTTTTCAGAAGATGAACTGGTGATCTAACGTGATGTGGCCGTAAGGATCCCACTATGGTACAGCCTTACTGTGTCAAGGCCCTGTTTTCTTTCCTTTGCACTCGAGGCTTCTTATTCTTCTTGCTTGAGCAGCCTATTGACAACTAGGGAATAGAGAAAGCTGGTGGAATGGGCATGCTTCTGAAAGCCTGTGTGTCCATCCACAGATTGAACTTTCCTGGTCAGGTGAAAATGAAATTTCCTTTGAACAGTTTGCTAGATTCTTTGGAGAACTATTTTGTATTCCAGTTTGTTATTAGGGTGCTCATCGTGTGATACATGAAGAGTAGTGATTTATTATCCCAAGAATTTAGGAAATGAAGGACCTGTCCTCCATCCATAGCAACCCCTGAACTTTTCAGGAAGGTGATGGGGATGTGCAGGGCCCTGGAAGTGGGCCGAGGGCGTGCATGCGTGCCTGCAGTCGGCTGGGATGGGCTGTCCTATTTCCTGTAAGACTATTGCATTTCTGTAGGAGACAAGAATAAACACTGCAATTGAGCTGAATGGCCAGTTCACTACAACTTCATAAACTTGAGTGGTGTGTGTAGGCTGAAAGAGCGTAAGTGTACATTTCACAGTTCATAAAGTTGAGCAGCTCAACTTGAATGAGAGAACTTGCAGGCCTTTACAAGATCCTGAGGAGGCACTGATCTGTGTGTTTGCACTTTCCCTCTGAGTTGGGGCCGCTTCCTACATGTGAGCTGCTTGGCTTGGTTTACTGCTATACTTCTTTCCTGATGGGAGCCAGGAAGATGATTTTAGCCACGAATTTACAGACTCAAGAAAAGCTCCTCTTCAGATGGCCCTTTCCTCCCAGAACCCCAGCCACTCTTCTGACTGTGGGGGACCTGCCAGGAAAGATGTGCGCATGCTTGACCTAGAAAGCTGTCTGGGACATGACTGCGCATGCTGTCCACTCAAACTCACAGCCCCCAGACAGGAAGCGCTGTCGCTCTCTTACTTCCACTCTACACTTCTTGTCACAATTCACTCTGGCTACAGTGCCTGACTAGACACGCCCTCCAGAGGCAGGTGCTCCGCTGGACAATGGCGATTATCATTATTTGTGGCATGTTAGAACTTCCAGAAGATACTACAATGTTTTTTCCAAGTCAGTAAAATACTAGAGAACAGTGCAAGGACACTTTCTGCCTCCACCCTATGCTGGCTTCTAAGCATCTTGAAAGTGAGTGTTTATCTTACACCCTCCTGGGAGCTGCCACTGCTTCTGTCTGTGGACACCTGAAGACAGGCCCTACTTCACTGTCTGTGTGTAGAGCTGGTGTCAGCAACTGTGAATTTAAACATAAACAATGTGAGTCCTGAGAAGGCAGGGGTCAAGTCCGGTCAAGACAAGCACTGGTGACAAAAGGTGCTCAGTGAACACACAGGCAAACATGAGCCAAGGCCAGTCCACCCTTCAGGGCTCTCCAGGGCACCAGTCAGTATAAGCGTGGCATGAACAGGCCGAGACCAATGCAAACACACCAACAAAAAGAAAATAACCCTCTTTTGTGTAAGATTTATTCAAAAGAACAAAAGATACAAGGAGTCAGTGCATATGTGGAGCGACCTACCCAGGAAACCCAGGCCAGTCTGGTTCCTCTCTTCTGAGTTGCAAACTACATCCACGTGCTAGGCGCTTCAGGACTGATGGAGCCAGGTTTGTCATGGAAAATGTGCAGTTTTTCACCTGTTTTTATTCAAAGAGAAGTTCTGAGGGATAACTTGCTGGCTGAGGTGTTAGCCTCTCTCCTGGGAGTTTCATGGGTGTGGGGTGTAGGCAGGCAGTGCCGGACACTACTTCATGGCTCTGTCAGGTTCTTCGGAAGAAGCCTCTGGGTGACAATTTGACGGGGTATTCTTTTCACCTTGTGTACTAGTATTTATGTTATGGGATGTATGTTAGGAACAACAACAACAACAACAACAAAAACCCTTTTTGTTTTCTTAAAAAGATCTAAAATGGAAAATTATAACAGGTATCAATTTAACTCTAATCCATGACATGGGTTAAAAACAGCTTTTTACTGCCAAGAGTTGAAGACTTACTTCACAGAGCTACCAACCCAGTCAGGTGGGTCTTGTCTTTAAATTTGTTTAGTGAGTAGAAAGAGGAGATTGTAGAATGACACAATCCTATATAAGTCATGCTGACACCCTGTGGCTGATCTACTCCACCCAGGAGGCCACAGTGTGTACCTTGGTCGCAGGCCACATATTTAATCTGGGGACAGGCCCAGGTGCTGGTTGGAGGATGACTTGTTCTGAGAACTAACACTTTTCTAAGGTTTATACTTCAAGAAGTCAAGAATGAGAATGATGCTATTACATTTGGAGGATTTAACCACATTTTGCAAAACTTCTCACACTATCCTCTTGGAATTTTTCACAATATAAGCAGCGTTGCATTTTCCTTATAAGACAGGAGGGTAAAGCTTAGGAAATTCACATGTACTCTTATTGAAATCTTCAGAATTACCCAACTGATAGAGCACTTACACCAAGAGAAGGACGGTGTGTCTGACTTCTAAGTTCTCTTAAAGCAAGATGCACGCTGGAAACACCTCACACGCCCTGAGGCGTGCTCCTCAGGAGTAGATGCCACAGGAAAAGACCCTCGAAGCTGAGAGCTATCATTCACCACAGACAGATTTCCTCAGCTGTTGGCATGGATACACACAAGTCAACCCTACCATGGGCTTAAGACCACAGGTATTTCTTCAATTCAGATCCATTACTGGTCCCTTCCAAGTTTTCTGAAGCCGAATAAGGCTGAGCTTCCAAGTTCGGGTTTCCGAGAACCCCTGGAATCATTCTGTCCATTGTTCCTTAGAGAATCAGTTTACTTTACGGTCCCAAAACCTCAATGGATGCTTAAAAGTGAACAGAGACTATCTAAAATATCCGACTCAAAATTATACTTAAAACATAATACACAAGCGTGTATTGTGTACATATATATACATATATAGATATATACACATGTACACCCCTATATGTTTATTTCTTTTTTTCTCTGCTCAATAAAATTTAGCAGCAGTTAGATCAATTATTGTGGTCATGAATTGTATTACTTCAAAGGAAATCATATAACCTTTATCAACATGACTAGAAAGACGCCTGTTAATAAAAAGATCCCCACCAAGCACATAACATTAAAGTGTCATTTCATATCACTAACGTTTTCAGGCACAAAAGTAGAACAATTAGCACTAAGCAGTCCAAACAACAGAGCACAGAACACAGTTAATTGTCTAACATGAACTCTTCCCACAGAAGGGAATTGCTGAAAAAAAATTTTTTTTTCTTTTTTAAAGATTCTGATGTTTTTTGGCTTTGGCTATTTTGTAATAAATATCACACCTTCTCAGATAAACCTAGTGGGGTAAGATGACTCCTCTGCATATGCCTGTTTCAGTCCTTAGCAGCTGCTGAGGGTTGAGTGACGTACAAGGCACACCTCTACGTGTTCTGTACAGCATCTTTATTGATGTACAAAATAGCCTGTCCACCATTCAAAAATGTAATCTGCATAGTAAGAGTTTCTCTTATCCCTATTTACAGAGAAGGTTCTAGTGCAAAAACATGAGATTGTGTCCCAGCCCACCCCTTCTAGCACACACATCTACCAGTTCTATTTCATGCTAGCCGGGGTGATTTGGCTATATTTTGGGCCTCCAGCCATTAATGAATTGCATTATTTTCTTCACCTGAAGTTTGCTTAATTTGAAATCCTCTGACAGGATTTCTTCTGTTAGCTGAACGAGCAAATTCCCATCAATCTTTTCAGTGACAAAGAAGGATATGACGTCTTCAGACAAACCAATGAACCGTAGTGATTTGGACACTTCCTCTATGGAGAGTCCTGACAGGTCAGCGGGTGGCTGCCACGGGGAGCCATCGCCACAGGACCGGGGGGCTAGCTGGAGGTGGAGCGGGGAGGAGAAAGGGTAGGAGATGGAGAAGATGTCCTGCGTGCCCTTTTTAACAAAGTACTGGTCCTCGGAGAGGTCCGGCGACCCCGACTTGGGGTCCTCCTCAGCACCATCAATTTTCAGAGGCAGAGGCGACGTTTCCACAGCCGTCTTCTGCTCCACTGGCTTTGGGGCCCGGGGGGGTAGGGCAGGGCAGGATGCGCTCTGCCTGCTGGCGCCCGCGCCCAGGGTGCTCTCCTCGGTGCTCTCCAGCGAGTAGCTCGCTGACTTGGGGCAACCCACGGCGCCGCCGCTACCTTCTGCAGGGGCTGCGCTGGGGGCGCCGCCGGGCGGCTCGGGGCCGTCGAAGTCCAGAGGAGCCGGGCAGTTTCTCTTTGGTGTGCAGGGGGTCTTTTGTCGGGGGTAACTGTAACTCCTGCTCGGCTCCAGCAGGAAGTCGTTCCGGGTCTGGCTCTCCGATGCGCCTGAATAATGGTTAGGCCACGAGAGCCGGGAGGACAGCGCTTCCGCAGAGGGACTTCCGATCGGGGACTTGAGCTCCGCGGAGTCGGTTTTCACTCGGTTACACGGATAGCAGGAAACGGGAGCGCTTTCGGAAGGGCTCGTGTCACTTTTAGTAACGCTGCTTAAAAAGCAAACACACAGAAGAGAGAAATTAGCAGGGGAAGACTCCAAGCCAAGTTCCCTACCCTCTTATTACCCACAATTCTAAGCAGCTAGGAAAAATGCATTTATCATAACTTCAATGAAGTACCTGCTAACATCATTTTAAAATAAGGACTCGTTAGTAAAATACACTGTAATTACTGAGATGGTACATAATGATTTAAAATGCTACCATGGAGACAGAAAAACTTCTTTTAAGCTAATAAGGAAATCATTGTTAGTAAGTGTCTGGATTTTTATGATGAGAAAAATTCTCAAACCATGGTTCGGGCTTTGTACCAACAGATGCCAACACTGAGGTGCCACAAGTACCACACGCCTGGCAACCAAGCAGGACAGCGACACGACGACCATGCCACCCCTGTGGCTCTGTTTCCACCCCGAAGCCTGAGGCTCCAAGCAATGCTTTTGATAAGACGCGATCCTTTGCCTTTGTATCTGTACAGCTAAGCTACGTTCGTATAAGACGTCTGATGGTCAGAGAATTTTAAAAAATCCTGCAAAGACAGTGACTTTCGATTTGAGGAGCACACACGGCGTGGTGCATTCCGCTGTACTGTTAAGAGTGACAATGACACCACAGGGCGCTCAGAGGTGGGTGACCAGGCTGGGAAGGAGCAGATGGCAACATCTGCACAACAGCCGCGCAAATGATGCTGCTCAGGAGAAGACACGGCTTACGCTGCTGTAAGTGCACGGTTTCAAGGGCTGACAAGAGAAGTGTGGTGGATCTGTTTTGATTCTCTGGACATGGATGAAAGTTAAACAGAGATAGATCCTAACTTGATGATAGAAAAGATTTCTTTACAAACAAAGGCTGGCACTTGCCAACAGTGGAATGGGCCCCAACGCAGAGGCAGTGAACTCACGGCACCCAGGAGGGAAGGCTCCAGACAAGATGGCTGCCTGCATGACAGCGAAGGCCAAGATGGGCTCCTGACAGGGCGGAAATGCAGAGCAGAGTGGCCAGGGGACCCTTTCTCACAAGGTTCTGGTGGAAGGTGCTGTCTGCTTACGCCAAAATCAGAGTGGAAAGAACTAGATGCTGGCTTGTGAGGACAATGGGCCAGGGTCGCTGAGTTTCTCATTGACCCCCAAGATATCTTTCCCCCACAAGACTTTGGCTTTTCCATCAGGTCAAAATCAACAGGACCTCTATCATACTCTCACAGAAAAAATACTTTTAAAAGATAAAGGCCATTCCCTCTCCCGCCACCCTGCCTAGGTGATGTCCCCAAGGGGCCGGGAATTGGCCGGTGAGAAGATGAGGTGGTGGAGAGCCCTGGTAGTGAGACTTACATGCTGTGCAGCCCTGAAGAATAGTAGGACAAGGTGGGGCTGGGAGAGCGAGTCTGTGGCCGCGCTGGCTTGACCGTGCGAGGAGGGATGGAGGGGCTGGTGGACAAAGGCTTTGCGCTTCGGGGTGGAACAGGTGGGGCGTTCAGGAGTCGGCATTCTTCCCTGACCTAGCGCAGAAAAGAACACTCCAGGTTAGCAGCAGACGGACAAGGCCCCCGGTGCCCAGCTCCATCCTGCAGGGCCGAGGGGCTACTGTTGAAGACTAGCAGCAGGGGTGTGGGCGCAGGGGAGAGAAGACAGGAGCAAGTGCGCGAGATGGTAAGTGCAGGGGCTGCTGGGATCCGGGCAGGCACCTGTCACACAGGTGCTGGGAACAGACTGATGTTGAAAGAAACTGCTTGGCAAATGTCAGCCTCTTGGAACCATAACCATGTGCAGTGTGGCAAGTCACAGCGGCTCTGGTTAGAAGTGGTGCAAGGTGACAGCGCAAAGGTGTTACGGACACACAGCAGGCAGGATGCAACAGAGGAGTATATTCTCCTGTGAGTTTTGTGTATTCGCTGCTCTAATGGGGCTCAGTTTGGCTCAAATTGGGCAAGGTAGCCTCTCCCCAGGCTCAGAGTTTCTGCGAGGTTCTGTTCCGGGCTTCTCCGACATACTGTTCACACAAGTCACCTGGGGGTCTGCTTAAAACACAGGTGCCCAGGGCAGGGCCTGAGAGCCAGTGTGGCTCACAATCCATGGTTAACAAATGCTGTGGACCAGGGACCGCACTCTGAGCAACAGGGCAGTCGGGGAGGAAGCAGAGAGGCAGCGTTCCAATCCTGAAATGTGGGGCTTCTGCTAAGAGCTGCCTCTGCCTCGCCCACTCTCAGGTTGGAGAGGGTCTCAGTGACCCGGCAAGTCTGCCTGTGCTCACCCAAGCTTGCTTTCCAGCCCCTGCAAGTCTTTGCAAACACAACTCTTACAACCCAAGCAGCGGGCAGTTGGCATGTACTTCCCCGTGTCAGACGGCAGGGGGCAGTTTACACCTGGTTCTCCTAGGCTACCCTCACCTGCAGAGGTAAAAACCAGCCAATCCTGACTTAAAAGTGCTGGGCTTTGACTGACCCCGCCTGCTGTGGGGCCACCTTCCTACTAGACTTTCTTTCACCTTTGCCTTCAGCCCCTTTCTGTTCAAGCCACTGTGGGGCCGCAGGGCCAAGTGGGCAGTGCGCTCCCACCAGCTTCGGCACTGAGGTTGCTGAAGATGCAGTAAATGGTCTCCTGTGGTTATACCCACCTTCCACCTCCTACAGTGACTGCACTCAGCCTCCAGCTGGGGTCCCAGGCCCCATTCACGGCCAAAGAAAACTAGCCGTGAGGGGGAAGTCCCATGACCATGGTCGCTAAGTGAGGCGGAAACTATTTAAAGTGGTATCTCCTGCTTTCCTTCAACCTGGGAGCACAGCTCCTTTGCTCAGGCCCGCTCACTGTTACTGAGGGCTTTTCTCCCACAGAAGCTCTTTAAGATAAAACAGAATATTCGGAGCAGTAGATTTCTTTCCCAGTAACTAACTGCAGGGAAAACTCTGGAAGGCAAGCGATTTAGATGAGGAGAGATGGCTTTTGGGCTTGGGCACTGTTTGGGGTGCTGCTAGCTGGTGAGAACCAACAGGAACACTCATGAGTCCAGCGGGGTCACCTCACCTCTCAGCTGTCTGGGAGCATCTTGTCACCCTCCTTCTGTCCGGGTTAGAGACCCATACAACAGCTGTTTCCTTTCTTCCCCAGGGACTATCACAGAATCTAGGGGGATGGGCATAACTTTATGACAGAAGTGTTTGGTTGAGTAATGCTTACAGTAACCGCAAACCAGAAAATATAAGAAGGACTCAGTTAATTTTGTATCTGGCACTTTTTTTTTTTTGTTGTTGTTGTTTTGTTTTGTTCCCCAGAACCAGGGAATGAACTCAAGCCCTTGCGCTTGCCAGGCAAGCACTTATTCTACCTGAGCCATCTCCCCGGCCCCTCAGTTAATTTTTTAGATGCTTATTTTTTTATTTTTTATTTTTTGTGGCAGAACCGGGGATTGAACTCAGGCCTTCGCGCTTGCCAGAGAAGCGCTTATTCCTCTGAGCCATCTAATGTTTTAATTTAAAAAGTAAATAATCACTTCTCAGTGTCGGGCTAGAGGGGTGCTAAGGGAAACATGGTCAATGCTGAGCTAACAGGATTTTCTAAAGTTTGGAATTAGTCATTAAATATGGCGCCTCCTTAGAGGCTGTTTACCTGAGATGTCAACTGTAATGTGCTGTAATATCAACCATCACATGCATCTAGTTTGCAATGATTGACTGATGTGAATCTTACAACGTAGAGAAGAAGACACTTGCAGTTGACGGAAGGGAAGAAGGAAGCCCTCCCTGCCCATTCTTCTTGCCAATCCCAGGCATGGAATGCCATTTGGAGCTGCTCTGCCACTGCCTGGATAGCTGGGTGGTCTCAGAGGGCTTCCTGCTGGCTTCCCACCATGGGCAGGGGATGGCAGGGCATGGTGAGGAGACAGGTATGTCAAATTGGGGTGTTCATGGTTCAACTTGCAAACAGAACTTCAGACACAGGCAGTTTTGGGGTGACCACATGACTCCTGAAAGGAGTTTGGGTGTAATTATGAATTCAAAGTGAAACAAGCAGGTTTACTTGAAATTCACTTTGGAAAAATAATACTTAAAAATATATAACTTTAAAAGGATGCCATCTATGACAAGAATATGAGGGGTTATTCTGGCGGAGGCATCAAATAAGTGGCTTGTGTTTTTCCAAGAGGTGGGAAGGGTGGTTTTCAGGGGCGAGCGGGGGCAGACAGGCTGCAGGCATACACGGCGCTGGAACTCTGAACCTGCTGGGGCAGAAGTGGTTGGGCCAATGAAGTCATATTTCTCACCACTTTATGGGTAGAATTATATGTCTCGGTGGGACATACACATTTTGTGACTCAGAAGTTATAAACAGCAAAGGTTTATTGTACCATTTCACTTCCTGTCTCTGACACCCTTAGAACAGAAATAATTCTATTTTTCTTTGCTTCTTGATTTGGTTCAACACAGGACGTTTACATCCAGGAGGAAAGTAGCTCTCCTGTAAGTGAATTCTATCTGATAATAAAGGCAATTTACAAGGCTGAATGACCAATCACCTTATTTCCAGTTTTCTCTCATATTCAATTTCACTTTATGTGCAATGTTTTCAGCACATTCCTCCTAAAAGCCTCGGCATGTGGCTTTCAGCACGTTGCTTTCTGTCTCTGTGGCCCCTGCGACTGCTGGGCCAGGCCAGCCTCATCCGCCATCCACCAAGGCCCTCCCTCCACATCTGGCTCTCGCCCATCCTCTAGCTGTTTCTTGCCCTGCTCCCGAAAAGAACATCAGCCCTGAGTGGCATGTTCAGGGTCATCTCAACATCCCACATGCTTTCCTGCCTCTTTCTCTGCTTTAGCTCCTAAGCCTCCCCCACGGGAGGACCCAGTCCCTCTGCCCGGCCTCAGTGTGGCATGCTGTCGGGGACCCGCACTGCAGCCACCAGGACGATGCTGCTCTGAGCTCCTGAAGTGCTGCTGCCTTACTTACTCCCCAGGTACGTGTAATCGGCCGAGGGGCTAGCTCGGCAGGGACTTAGCACTGTTCTGAGAATGGCAGTGTTGGGATCTACACCTTGGGCACAAGTACGTCATGCAGAATGTCAGACAGAAGTTAACAGATTGATTTATTTCTTTCTCCAAAAAGTATAACATAAAGATTTTTTAAACATATACCATATAATACCTCTTAAAGTTGACAAATGCTCTGGACTGAGGGTTCATTTCTGTGACACCTATGTTCATAGACAATGTTGGGAACAAAAAAGGGCCAGCTGACTGGCCCATGGGTCTCCACTAACTCCATCCCCACCTCCAAGGTCTGGCACAGTAGTAGAGTGACCATGATGGTACCTACACTCTTCAGCTAGGAATGTGACTTTAACTGTCAGCATTTCAGAGGATAACTGCTATGTCCAAATGATGATTTAGTGGCTTGTTTTGTGCCTGGTGGACTAGAACTTCAACTGGTAACACCTGGAGGGAGAAGGGCCTGCATCTTCAGGAATAACCTTTGAACACTAGGGCCGAACACGGGGCTGGCGTTCTGGGTTGAGGTGGGTGTTGCCCTCCATGAGATTGGGGTGACCTTTGCCCGTCTGCAAATGTCTATGAGTAGTCTGGGTGTTCACTGTGAAGGTCCTGGTGCCACAGTCCTGTCTAAGACTGGGTCAAGGAGCACAAGACAGATCTGGGTGACAGCATGGAGGGCTAACTTGCCCTTGTACTCAGAACCTCACTTCCTGAGCCGTTCCCTGGTCTGAAGTTTTTCTCTCAAGCTGTTATGCCTCACCCTTGCTTATTCATAGAAGCCTTCTTTTTTTTAAAATTTATTTTTTTTTTACATTTATTTATCGTGTGTGTGGCCAGCTCAGCCCACCAGGGGGCAGGGCTGGCTGGCACGTGGTTCTGGAGGATTGAACTGCGGTCCCTGTGCTTTGCCAAGCTTGTTCCAAGTAGGTGCTTTAGACCACTGAGCCATCTCTCCAGCCCCAAGTCTTCCTTTTCTAAAATATCAATGTTCTTGTCCAATGTACGACACCACTACCCTGGTGTTGATAGTGCTCTCCTTGGTAGTCGCATAACAGAATGTTAACCTAGAGCTAAACATAAAGTTAAGTTGCCCAAATGTAGAAACACTAAGTTCTGTCCATCAAGACTCTATGAGGCATATTCCTAGGGCGCATACTCAGCACATGCTGCTTAACACATTAAGAGTGGAGGTTTGAAGTAAACACTAGAAGGCGTCTCAGTCAGAGCTAAGAGCTCAGGTCAGAGCCACCATCTTCTCTCCCTGTCCCCAGGAGTCTGAAGAACCCAACCATCACACCCTCTCTTCCTACACACTACATTAGCTTAATTTTGCAACTTATTGTTCAAATATATGTTGAATGCCTACTGTATGCCCATTGAGCATGTGTTTAATGTACCAAAATGAGTCACTCATGGAATTAGTTATGAAGGAGGGAGACAAATGTAATTAAGATAAAACCATTGAATGCACTAACAAAAGAGTGTGAAAGAGTTTATGGGAGTCCTGCGAGTTCACTC